AAATTGTTCCTCATCAGGACTAGTATTAGTTTGGGAAGAACCTGAGCTCAGACCGTCAGATCCAAACATGTTCATATCAACGAGCAAATGGGGAGGGATGTTTGGAAGATCATGAGGCACTCCGCTATCTTCCACTGCCACTCGAGGGAGAAAAGGAGCTGGATCTTTCCAAATACTGTGTTGAGCACTCATAGTGTTCATTTAGAGAGTCGGGCTGCCTTGGTAGCTCTTCGCTCCAATTTGTAGGACGGTCGTTCCTCGAGCACGTGTGGTTCTGTTGAAATCAAGTTCAGGGACGGGCGCGCCAGGTGGGGGGATACAGTGCCTCCTACGATATAGTGCTATAGCGTGACATACCTCTAGCTATGGCACTATTGGAGGGATGGCACTATATAAAGGAGGCTCAAATACATACATTTGGGGACAAAGCACACTGCTAACACAAAACACAACAAAGCCTGTGTAACACAACTAAATAACTTGATCCTTTGAGAGTACTGAACCATGCCGCATGATACACGTGTGAGCTTATGATAACCTGTGCCAGAGGGTGAGTCATAGCACTATATAGAGGGAAGCACTACTAAAGTAGGCAGTATTGAGCGACGCCCCCTGCACCGCGTTCTGCGCGGTTCGGGGTGTGTGTGGGGGGGCGTCGCGTGCGTGGACGCGCCCGGGGCGCGGGTTGCAAGCGGCGCGCGTGCGGCAGGTGGGGCTCGCGCGCGGCTACCGGGGGGGCGGCATGCGTCGCGGCTACGTAGCCGGATACGGGCGCGGCGCATACGGGCCGTACACGTCTGGGGCGGGCGGCGTTCGGGAATGCGTGTAAGCCGCGTGACGTCACCCCCATGGGGGCCGCGGCGGGGTGTTTACAGGCGCGCCCGAAATATGGTGCGGCTGTGGCCTTCGAAGCACCACGCGCGCAGCGCACGCCCGGAAATTCCCCAAATTCCCAGACACCCACCCCACCCACCCCGCCGCCACGTCTCGCAACCTCGCTACACGCCCCTTAT